TGCTGCTAGTTGCAGCATCAGTTGTTGCAGAAGGGTCCATAGGACCAATTCTGCTAAGAGAGTGAGAGTTTGCCAGAGGGCTGCTTTTTTGTCTTTCGCTTATGGTGTTCGCAAGGAAGGTCTTGTGACCCCAAGTGCCTGTCTTTATATACTAGTTTAGGTTCTAGACAAGTTTACTTAGGAGCAGGAGATACATTAACTTAATGTAGTTTGCAATTATTTGCCTTGAAAGTTTTTTTCTTATAATTCCAGTCTTGGTAAAGTGATCTATGGGAAGAGTTTTTAGAATTAATTCATCAAATTTAATTCTAGCTCTTGCTGATATAACTAGTAATTTAAACTTTGAGAAATATGAAATATTGTAAGAAGATGTATGATAAAATCTTTAGCAATATACAGAGAAAATATCATAGCAAAAGTTAAACAAAAGAAAGCTTGTAAATTTTCAAGTTGAAATCCTATCAAGTCAAGTATCTATTTGAGAAGCAGAAAGACTTCAAAGTGTAGAAATGATGTCAAATTCTATTTGTAACTGTAAGAGTTCTTGTGATAGTAAAAAATATAAATGTAAAAAGGCAAATGTGAAGTATACAAGCTATTGTCATGCTGGTTGTTTCTACTTAAATAAAGATTAATATATGTATACTAATTATAATAAAGTTAATTTTATTACTGCATATAATTTGCTTATTAATGAATTATTTTAAAATTGAGTAAATGTTTAATTGGTTAAATTATAATTGAAAAATTTAAAAATACAAATCATGTGATTATTGACTATTGCATCAGATATAATCTGATGCACCTCAGATAACCAATTAGCAGATAACGCATATCACCTGAAGATTGGCATCTGATGCAAGAATCAATCTGAGGCACAACATATATATAAAACATCTACTTCATATGTATAAAGTTAGGCTTCTATTATTTTTTGTTAGTGCTTCAAGGTTAGTTTAAACATCAGTTTTCGAGTTTTGCATTTTTTTCATTAGCTCCTTCACATAAATTTTGACTGTTTTTTAAAAAGTTTTTTCAACAACCACCTGATAAATTTTGTTTAATGAAAATTTATCATTATTATCAAAGAAACCTTGGTTCAAAGTTTAAAATTTTAGGCAAACCTTTTTCAAACCTTTAAGCAAAGTTTTCTCGACAACTACCTGATAAATTTCAATGAAATGTTTTTTATTTGAATCAAACAAATTCCTTGAAAGTGATTAAGTGATTTCCATGAAAGCTTTGTTCAAAGTTTTAAAAAATAATTAAAAATAATTAGAATTTATGAAGGATCTCTTCATATGACTCGGAAAAGAAACTAATCATTAATAATTCTGGTCAAATTTGCAGATCATTTGGCCAGATCTAAGACAAAACAATTTTAAATGTAGTCAAATGATCTGCAAGTTTGACCAGAATTATAAACTAATCAGATGATACAAATAAAGTTGACATTTTACAATCGTATAATTTTGCGAGTTTCAAACCGTTTTACTAATTACATAGAAACCGTTTTACAAAAACCTATGCAAAATTACGCAAAATTACATAAAATTACAGTAATTTTACAACCCTAGATATAAAGCTGACCAGAATTATGCCAGCTAGCCAGAATTATAAAAATTATACTGCGCAGTCTCTCAAAAATGCCTGCGCAGCGGTCCATCTCTACAATTTCATGAATTAGATAACTTACCTATTATTCAAATATCTAGATACCACTCCAAATAATGTTATTCGATCTATTATTCCATTAAGATATATGAAAATATATTTCAGATCAAATTCTGATATATTTATCAGGGAAAAGATAAAGTTTTATGTTAAGGAAAGATTAGGGTAGGTTTTATGGTTAGATATTGGTAGTACTGTAATAATTTAATGTTTCAAAAAATAAATTTAAATTGATTAAATGGTAGTGCGAAACATTATATTTTATCGCATTATGTAATAGATAAATTACTCTTTTAATTTTTGATGTATAGCTTAATCTATTTAAAATCTATTGTCTATAATCTATTGTTTATACTTAAAATATTTATATTAAATAAAAACAAGCTGTTTGTGAGTTAATAGACTTGTTATTAGATTATTGTGGTATTTTAAATATATGTTACAAAAATTAAGGTTTCTGATATCTTTTGCTTGAATGTTTGCGAATATAAATTAAAATTTTATTTATTATTTAAATATAATATTATGTACATAAGGAATCTTTAAGAATATTATCAAAATTTACAACGTGAAGAAAGAAATGTGACTTTTTTTCTCCTGTTTTTCAAATGAAAGCATAATAGGACGCTTAGGATTAACATTAACAAACACAGGCGAACATTGATTAGTACGATTATTTTTCTCATATAGAAGACTAGCAAATATTATTTTTTGTTTATCTACTTCTGCAAATTTGTCCCACTCTTTTTTGCCTTTATATATTGTATTTTTGCCTCTCTTCTCCCACATTTCCCATTCCACTTCCTTACGTTCAGTCAAAGTATGAGAATTTTCAGTAATAATGCCACAATATATTTCTAAATGCTTTTGACCAATATCTGCTTGTTTTTTATTATTCTTGAATGATAAGTAATAAATAACTTAGTTTTAAGCACTGTCAATAAAGAAGAAAATAATTAAATTATTTACCAGATCGAATGAATAAACACATGGTTTCCAACTGCAATTATCATTTTTGCAAAAATGAAGCCCAGTAACAATCCTAGCATCTTCAATTTCACCATCTTGATGCCGGAATGCGCAAGTCCCAAGAAGGCAATAAGTTCTATTTTTATACAATTTAATGAGTTCTGAAAAGTTTTTGTCAGCATTTTCACTGGTTAGGGTAAGACACTCTAATTTAAATAAAGAAGGTCTAAAATTAAAATTTGAATAAAATCCAACAATTATCCATGCGACCTTTACTTTATATTCTTTGTTTTTTGAGAATGAAAATTTTACTGGTTCTCTTTTCTTAACACATTGTATCACTAAACATGGATTTGTTGAAGAAAAATATTCTATATGAGCAGAGAAAACGCCACAAATGTCTTCTTCAGTATGCAGAACTTGCGCATTCCGGCATCAAGATGGTGAAATTGAAGATGCTAGGATTGTTACTGGGCTTCATTTTTGCAAAAATGATAATTGCAGTTGGAAACCATGTGTTTATTCATTCGATCTGGTAAATAATTTAATTATTTTCTTCTTTATTGACAGTGCTTAAAACTAAGTTATTTATTACTTATCATTCAAGAATAATAAAAAACAAGCAGATATTGGTCAAAAGCATTTAGAAATATATTGTGGCATTATTACTGAAAATTCTCATACTTTGACTGAACGTAAGGAAGTGGAATGGGAAATGTGGGAGAAGAGAGGCAAAAATACAATATATAAAGGCAAAAAAGAGTGGGACAAATTTGCAGAAGTAGATAAACAAAAAATAATATTTGCTAGTCTTCTATATGAGAAAAATAATCGTACTAATCAATGTTCGCCTGTGTTTGTTAATGTTAATCCTAAGCGTCCTATTATGCTTTCATTTGAAAAACAGGAGAAAAAAAGTCACATTTCTTTCTTCACGTTGTAAATTTTGATAATATTCTTAAAGATTCCTTATGTACATAATATTATATTTAAATAATAAATAAAATTTTAATTTATATTCGCAAACATTCAAGCAAAAGATATCAGAAACCTTAATTTTTGTAACATATATTTAAAATACCACAATAATCTAATAACAAGTCTATTAACTCACAAACAGCTTGTTTTTATTTAATATAAATATTTTAAGTATAAACAATAGATTATAGACAATAGATTTTAAATAGATTAAGCTATACATCAAAAATTAAAAGAGTAATTTATCTATTACATAATGCGATAAAATATAATGTTTCGCACTACCATTTAATCAATTTAAATTTATTTTTTGAAACATTAAATTATTACAGTACTACCAATATCTAACCATAAAACCTACCCTAATCTTTCCTTAACATAAAACTTTATCTTTTCCCTGATAAATATATCAGAATTTGATCTGAAATATATTTTCATATATCTTAATGGAATAATAGATCGAATAACATTATTTGGAGTGGTATCTAGATATTTGAATAATAGGTAAGTTATCTAATTCATGAAATTGTAGAGATGGACCGCTGCGCAGGCATTTTTGAGAGACTGCGCAGTATAATTTTTATAATTCTGGCTAGCTGGCATAATTCTGGTCAGCTTTATATCTAGGGTTGTAAAATTACTGTAATTTTATGTAATTTTGCGTAATTTTGCATAGGTTTTTGTAAAACGGTTTCTATGTAATTAGTAAAACGGTTTGAAACTCGCAAAATTATACGATTGTAAAATGTCAACTTTATTTGTATCATCTGATTAGTTTATAATTCTGGTCAAACTTGCAGATCATTTGACTACATTTAAAATTGTTTTGTCTTAGATCTGGCCAAATGATCTGCAAATTTGACCAGAATTATTAATGATTAGTTTCTTTTCCGAGTCATATGAAGAGATCCTTCATAAATTCTAATTATTTTTAATTATTTTTTAAAACTTTGAACAAAGCTTTCATGGAAATCACTTAATCACTTTCAAGGAATTTGTTTGATTCAAATAAAAAACATTTCATTGAAATTTATCAGGTAGTTGTCGAGAAAACTTTGCTTAAAGGTTTGAAAAAGGTTTGCCTAAAATTTTAAACTTTGAACCAAGGTTTCTTTGATAATAATGATAAATTTTCATTAAACAAAATTTATCAGGTGGTTGTTGAAAAAACTTTTTAAAAAACAGTCAAAATTTATGTGAAGGAGCTAATGAAAAAAATGCAAAACTCGAAAACTGATGTTTAAACTAACCTTGAAGCACTAACAAAAAATAATAGAAGCCTAACTTTATACATATGAAGTAGATGTTTTATATATATGTTGTGCCTCAGATTGATTCTTGCATCAGATGCCAATCTTCAGGTGATATGCGTTATCTGCTAATTGGTTATCTGAGGTGCATCAGATTATATCTGATGCAATAGTCAATAATCACATGATTTGTATTTTTAAATTTTTCAATTATAATTTAACCAATTAAACATTTACTCAATTTTAAAATAATTCATTAATAAGCAAATTATATGCAGTAATAAAATTAACTTTATTATAATTAGTATACATATATTAATCTTTATTTAAGTAGAAACAACCAGCATGACAATAGCTTGTATACTTCACATTTGCCTTTTTACATTTATATTTTTTACTATCACAAGAACTCTTACAGTTACAAATAGAATTTGACATCATTTCTACACTTTGAAGTCTTTCTGCTTCTCAAATAGATACTTGACTTGATAGGATTTCAACTTGAAAATTTACAAGCTTTCTTTTGTTTAACTTTTGCTATGATATTTTCTCTGTATATTGCTAAAGATTTTATCATACATCTTCTTACAATATTTCATATTTCTCAAAGTTTAAATTACTAGTTATATCAGCAAGAGCTAGAATTAAATTTGATGAATTAATTCTAAAAACTCTTCCCATAGATCACTTTACCAAGACTGGAATTATAAGAAAAAAACTTTCAAGGCAAATAATTGCAAACTACATTAAGTTAATGTATCTCCTGCTCCTAAGTAAACTTGTCTAGAACCTAAACTAGTATATAAAGACAGGCACTTGGGGTCACAAGACCTTCCTTGCGAACACCATAAGCGAAAGACAAAAAAGCAGCCCTCTGGCAAACTCTCACTCTCTTAGCAGAATTGGTCCTATGGACCCTTCTGCAACAACTGATGCTGCAACTAGCAGCA